ATTTTTGGAATAGTTTTTTTTTTTAGACTGTGTGGTTAAAAAGAAGAAAAATTTTGGATTTACGTGTAATATTATTTTATTGTAAAATGTGCGATTAATAAGAAGAGAGAAAAATGAATTAAAATTTTAATGATGCCAAACAAAAGCTTTAAATTGTAGCCATGAGGCAGAGAAATTTGGGCTTCAGATTAATTTAATAAATTGTTGGACTGTTGATCATTGATCTTGCACTAGACGCCTTTAGTAATTTTATGGTGATGGTTTTTAATTTGTGTTTATGGAATTCTGTAGTATGTGCAGTTCTTCTCCCTTTTTTTTTTACTTTTTTTTAGTAGTAGTGTTCAAGTTGATTTGAAATTGGAATTTTAGTATATTTGAGATTTGTTCACGTCAGTAGGTATTGTGATCGAGAACCTAATGGATCAAACACTAAAATAGAACAAAAAAAAAATGAGATTCACCAATTAATTAATTAACAAGTGTTGGACAATTAATTAATTGTGTTGTTTGTTAATATGTCAGGATTAATTAATTCATGGACCAGATTTAATTAAGTGGAAATTACACTTACCTAGGATTTTAAGATGCACAATTCAAAAATCAAATTTAAAGATTTTTTTTTTACCAAAAATCAGACATTTATTCATCTTTTAATATTAATTTATTAACCCATTATCTATTAAACCTATCCCCAACCTATCCAACCCAAAATCCTTACCCCTAGAATTCAATCTTCAAGTTCCAATTTCCATTGCTAGCCTCGATGGTGGCGCCTCTGGGAGCAAAGTTGAGGCATGACATTGGAGCCTTGGCCTCTCGGCAATCTGTACTCGATCCCGAGTTGTGGTGCTTCTCATGCGATTTGTGGTGGCCGGGGTGGAATGCAATGATGGTGTGTTTGTGTTATTCGTCGTGATTTAGCACTAATTTTTGTTGGTGCGTTGGTGTTAGATCGGTGGTGGATCTGTAAAGGATTTGTTGGATCTGGTAGTGGGGTAGCTTTTGTTGGTGGAGGTGGTGGTCGTGAATCTGGTATGGACGTGTCGATGGCAGTGGTAGTTTTGTAGTTGAAAATTGTGGTGTATTGATGGTTATGGTGGTGAAATTGAAAATGGTAGTATGTTGAAAGTGTTGGTACTACATTGGAGGGTTTGGAATCAATCATTTGAGATTGTGACCAATAATTTGGATATCTTGTGACTAAAAAAAAACATGTGATTGATAAATTGTAACCAATAAAAGTTTTTATTTTGTGATCCATAAATAATTTGTAAGCTATAAAATTTTTGATTTATGATCTATAAATAATTATGACCAATAATTTGATAAGTTGTAATAAAAAATTAATTTATGACTAATTAATTAGATATTTTGTAATCGTAAAATACGTTGTAAGTTGTAAAATTTGTGATTTGTAACCAACGAATAATGTGTGACTTAATTATTTGATAAATTTGTGATAAATAAATAAATTGTGATCTATAAAATTTTTGATTTGTGATCTATAAAATTTTTTATTGTGGCTGAAAAATAATTTTTGACCAAATTATATATAATTGTGACTTTAATATATTTACAACTTGTTTGATACCCATTCTTCTAAAATACATTTTTCTCTCTATTATTTTCAACCACACATTTTTCAATAAAATAATATTATACGCAAATTCAAAAAATTTTCCTTATTTTTTTAACAACATATTTTCCATTAAATCACTATGTCAAATGCATTATTTTATAATTAACTAATTGTAAGA